TTTTCTTAATTTTCTTCGTGTTTTTTATATATATATATATATATATATATATTATAATAAGTGTAAAGCATAACTTTTGTCACATATTTAAAAGCATTAAATAACTAAACACAACTTAACTAGTGACAGTTGTTATTTTTTTACATAAGGAACAATATTGTTAGTAATTAGTTCTATTCATCAGTGGAATAATTACTAGTTATTATTAATTAATATTTTTTAAAAATACGAAGTATTTTTAAAATAAAGGTGCACACTATTAAATTTTAAGACGATTTCTTTCTTACGAAAAAATAATGTATTATTCTATGAAAGCTACTAAAATTCTAATGCTACGAGTTTTAATAAAATATTCTAAATTTTTGAAAGTATATTTTAATTAAATATTCTTTATTTAAATTCTGCATTAAGCATACTTAAATCGAAATATCCAATTTAAACATATTAGTTACTGTCCTTCCTAATAGTTAACGTTTCTATCCTAATAAGTTCGAAATTTAAAATGGTTTTTAGTACTTGAATAAAATTTGATTTCTTATAGTAAAGGAAAACTATTTTAAGTATAAATACCGAATTCAAGTTGTTGTTTTTTTTTTTTCAAAATAAAAATCATAAAAAACTTAATCATCAAACACCAAGCTTATAAATTCATTAGACTGAAGTACAAAAATTTTTAAACAATAGTGCTATAAGCATTTTAATAAATATTATGCCTCACATTAAAATTTATAATGCTTTGTTAAGACAATAATTTTACAATTATTAAAGTTACTAATATTATTATAAAAATAGAATTTTTTTGATTTCATACATTTTTAATTAACTTTTTCAAAATCATTGCTTGCAGCAATGCAACTGTAATTTAGTATCACTATTTCCCTGATTCAGATAGACAAAAATCATATTGCATCAGGGGCAAAAAATAACATAGATAAACGTATTAAACGAAATACATAAATTAAAATTTAAACCATGGTTAAGACAAAACTTTATTTGCAACTTAATATTATTTTTAATTTCTAAACTCTAAACTATATTCGCCACATTTTTTTACAATTATTTTTTGTGCAATTTACATAGTAGTTATATCATTTAAATGCAGAAGCAAATTGATATAATAAAGAAAACTAATTATAATCATAGCCTCTCATAGAAACAAGCATTTTCTTTAATTTAATGAAAAATGTGTTACTACAATTCTTAAACTAAATAAGCAAGTATTTATTTTTAATAGTTAAATATATCTAACAGATATTTAAATACTAATTATTTATGCCTATTTGATTATTGTTATGCCAGTTTTTCCAAATAATTATTGATATAAATTTTTTTTCATTGTGAGATAAGCATAGTACACTTAAAATTGTACATATTGCATATAACTAACAAACTTTTTAATTTTTTAATAGTTTTAATTGAAGTAGTCATAATGAATTAATAAATAACAAATTTCATATATTGATTCAAATATTTCAAATTAAGTTTAATAACTTCGATTATTAGCGTTCAATTTTACATAATCTGCTTAATAATAATAATATTATATTTTTACATTTACTAGTTTATTCTATAAATTCATTTTTATGTACAACAACATTTTTACAACAATGCAACACATAAATGAAACTTAACCATTCCTATAAATTAACTCTATCTCAGAATTTCATTCAACACATAAATAACATCAACATTATATTAATTGATCTTTTTTATCCTTTTTGATAGCATTGCGAAAAAGCAATGTACAAACATCACATTCAAAAATAAACATTTCTACTTAAATATTCTAAGAAGACCAACTGAAATCATTCATGTGGCAATGTTGCTAAACTTCAACAGACTTCAACACAATCATGATGACCAAAAAAAGTTTTTTTTTCCGATGAGAAAATTTTAATTTTCAATACATCCATGCAGTCAAGTAAAGATCATGTTTGGACACGTTTGAAACTTCATGAGATATGACAATCGCTGTCATTGCTACATCCAGGCGCAGCATCCTTGAGTTTATTGGTTTTTTTGCTCGTGCGTCGAATGAGACTACGGCTACGAGGTTTTGTTTGCTTCTGAGAAGTCGATTGCTGTTGCGTTTCTGGACTGCTTTCAGATTCCCTCTGTGGACTTAGGCTGCTGTTAAACCTGAATAAAAGTTTACACATTAATTCCAGTTAATCACACTGAAGAACAATTATGTTTTCCTGCTGTATGAAATTTTTCAACGAATCTTAGATACTTGCTGATTTTAAATCTGCAGTCGCCATAAGCTACAGTTTTGCTTTTTTAAAAAAATAACATTTTTAGTCTGCTTTTTGTCGAAATATATAAGTTTAAAAACGTCATATGTAACAGGGAGCTGCATAAATGTTGCGACAAACTTGTATCGGAGTTAGGGCACATCTTCAGAAATAAAACTGCTTAGGAACCAATGACCGGAAAAATCGCCATTCGCCGTTGGGGGTGCATCTCTATTTTGAATTGTTTCTTCATGTACTTCGGAACTAGTCATTATAGGAAAACACGGCAAACTAAGCACAACGAAATTTCTGCGCATGGGTTTTTATGCAATTTTAATCCTAACTCCCCCAGAAGTTTATCGCAACATTTACGTGACTCTTTATTATATATAACGTTTTAAAACGCCTGCATTTCAACATAACCTTACTTGTATTGACACCAAAGATGCTTTTTTAGTTTTAGTAATGGGATACCTGCAAGTGGACGTAGTGTATCTCGATCCTGATTGGTTGTTGAAACGCGTCATTTGCTTACGTCAGCAACTATTATTTTCAGTTTATTTTGAATAAACAAAGCTAGTTAAGTATCAATTCTCTTAAGTGGCATTCTATACTCTTTACACAACATTACTTTATTAAATAAATAGAACGATTTTATCTAATTTAATGTATACAATAATAAACAGTGCGTTTTAAAGGTCTTTTTTATAAGGAATTAAATATTTGAATTTAAGAAACGAATTTGAAGAATTGTGGGATTTTAGTATTTACTTTATCATTTGTTTTGATTTACATGTAATAAATGCAGATTATTTAAATGAGCTCAAGAATAAAACGTACACATTTATAGTGAAATTTTATTTGTTTTTTAAAATGAGGAATTTATAATTCCTTTTAGTAAAACTTATAATAAAAAATCCGTTATGATTAATGTCATAATTAATTCTGCAGGAATGCATTTTCAGTATCATAAATTTTATCTCTCATTACGATAATTCTTGAAAAATTTAAATGTAATTTTCAATAACAAAAATAATTATTATAGTAATCAATTGCAAAAATATTGATGTTGAATGTAAAATTGAGATTTATATCATATAAATAATCAAAAGATTTTATTTCTAAAATTATAATAATAACGATATAAAAAAATTGTTTATAGTTATTTTCATTTTTATTTACATAATTTTTAACGTTTTGAGCTTTTTATGTTTTTAAATATTATTCAACTGAGGATGTTTTTGAAAGCTCCGCAATGAATGAAAGGATGCTTTTTTTCGAATAAATTGCTTTTTTCATAACTGATGTGAGTTTGCAACAGTTACTCTTGACTGCTGGGTCAAATTTAACCCATCTTTAATCAGCGCCCTGTATTCTGAAAATAGCGCAAAACGTCAATATTGAGAAAAGCTACTGTTAAATGAATATGAAAAGCGTTTGCTGTCTAATTTTTTAATAATAATTAATAACTTATTCCAATGCTGTATTATCTGGACCCATAAAAATTTGCAAAAAATTGGAATAAAATGCATTGATTTTGATAATTTTCATCTAGGTAAAAAAATGTCCCCATGTTGGCGATTTTTAAGAAAGCTTATTAACTTTTAAATTTTTTTCAGTTATTTGTCTGTTCTAATGCCCAGAAAATTCATTACAGCAAGATGGTATGTATAGTTTGATTGTTGATTCAAGTGTAAGACGCTTAAACTGTGTTTCTTTTAGTTTCCTTGGCAAAAAAGCTTCGAAAAACCGTGCTAAGATATTCTTTAAACTTTTATTTTATCAGTTTTCTCAATCTTGTTCTCGCCACTTATTATTCAACACTTTCCTTCATCAGCACATAATTGTTTATCATGCAAACATCGTGTCTGGACTTGAATTTGAGTAAATTGCAGTTAAATCTGACTTAAACACTTTCAAAAATCGGATGCGGTGTTAATTTATATCTATTATCATTTCATGATAGTCAAAATGCAGTTAATAAGCTTCACACACGCTAACACGCACTTCATATAGAAAAAACAAGATTGACCAAAACGTGACAAAAATGATGAATAATAATAGAAAAATAAAGTTTCCCCTCGGATAGAAATAAGGAAAAAAATCGCAGTGGGTTCAATATATTCCTATGCATTTCATGCAGAGCTCTAACAGAACTGAGATCATTAAATAAAGTATTAATTTGAAGGAAATAGGCTTTAATACCTTAAAGTCGTTTCATTATGACAAAAGAATAAAATAAGTGTTTGGAAATATAGAATTTGTGGACGAGGTTCCAGCAATTGGCCGAAACTCATATCAGATGCTGCCGAAAAATTCGACGATTTGATAAATAAATTAAGGGAAAACATAAGAAAATAGAAGTGTTCAATTTTATGTGTTCTCCCTCAAAATTGGTTTTAAAATTTATCAACACAATGTAGATCAGTTTATCTGATATAAACTGAACCTATTTTCAAAATAACTCCCATTTGGAGCTGCAAACTTTGCATCTCCAGAGGAAAAAATTAAGGGGCACTCTTGAAAATATTTAAGTTGGAATGAACTGTCATGCAGGTGAAAACATCATGCCATAGTTAGTTTTGAAAGACATCAATGCAAATTGTTGATAAACTTTGCAACTAATTTTGAAATTTGGAAAGAACTTTCTAGTTTCTTTAGTAAAAAACGTACATTTCAGTTTCCTTCCCTTTTACTTTAAATGTTTTTCCAAATTGTAGGTCATTTTTCAGTCACACAGCCATTTATTTATTTACTGGTGTCCTGACATGTTCTTAAAATCTAACTTCTGAAAGTAGTCTAGCTAACATGATTAAGATTGCATTATCAAGTTATATGAAAAACACTCCCAACAACTTAAATGTTGATAAAACACTTAAATGATTCGGAGATTCATGATCTGGTTTTCATATGATTTGAAAATCAAAACGTAAAAGGATGTTCGCCATTTAATAATAGCGTTACCAAAACTGAAAATGAAGGTAAGTTCGAACGTCAAAAATGCTGCTTTTATATCAGAGCCATGTCATAAATTAAGGAAGTAACGAGTAGTACCCTTCAGATTACGTGTAAATGATTTGCCACTTCACAAGAGGGCGTTGAAAGGAAATGTAAAATCCAGCTGACACAAATGTGTCCTAAACAGAGCAATACGATTTTTATTGACAGAAAGTAAATATACTGACTATATTATCAAGTGTTGGTTCTTTATGTGGGACACAGTAAAGGACAACTGATGTCTACAAATGCTGTAAAAATTTAAAGGAAGGGCGTTCCTTATTATTGGATATGCCAAGACCCAAGACAATCGAATTCTAAGAACTTTAATGAATATATTGCTGTTTTTTCTAAAATGATACAAGTGTTGCTATCACGGCTCGATGCATCTTTCAAGTAATAATTATGACATAAACAAAGGAATGGTGCGACTACCTTCTGCAACTAAAGATTGAATTGAATTATTTCGCATTGTTCTGTTCTAAAAAATTATTTTTAGCCTCGAATGTACATCCACTTTAAATACTCTCATGTGAATTGATTAATGATCTGTGAGTAAAATGAGGTGCACTCATCGTACATTCCTTTATAACCTTATTTGTGGTGCTGCTATTACTACTTTATGCTAAAGTTATCCCCCATGTCCACTATTCGTTTGAGAAACTCATGTACCAAACGATAAAAAAAATATTAATATTCAAACCCGTGGTAAACATTAATATCAGTAGTTTTAAAGTTGTAATACTAAAAATATATTATGATAAAAGAACACATACCTAAGTGGTCTACCGATTGTGACATGTGTACTAGATCGGCGCCTAAGAGCTGTATGTTCAGTGGGAATATTTATCTTGGCTAGTTGAAGGTATGACCTAAACACTTCTCTAATATTGGTGTTATCTTTGGCGGAACATTCCATAATTTTAGCTCTCAGTTTCGGTAATTCGCAAAACACCCACTCGTTCACATCTTCTTTCTTTACTTGACGGCGGTCTTCAGGGACATCACATTTATTCCCTACAACCTATTAAATTAACAAATATAATTAGGAAATGTTTCCGTTTTTAGCTTTTTATTTGTAACGTAAATATTCTCAGAAAACCTAGCAATGCTTGTCATGTTCACAGAAAAAAAGTTATGAAAAATAAATACTGTGCATTTAATTTATTACTGAAATTTTATAGAGACTAAATAAGGGTAAAAGATTTCAGAATAAGAATTATTACGGGGCTTGTCTTAATGGAAGTACACATACTTCTCGAATTTGTCTTTAGTATAAATATTTTTTTAAATATATATGTCTGTATAAAAAGCTCTTAATATTTATCAAATTAATTTAATGTATGCTTTAATATAAAATAAAGATTGCAAAAAGAGATTTTAGGTAGCTTTATTAAACACACTATTTCTCTTTAAAATATATTCCTGAATTATTTTGATTTTTAAATTTTACTACCACCTCCTGTGATCTACTTAACATTAACTTTAAAAAATGGGCAGTGCAAATTCCCAATTATTAAAGAAAAGAATTTAATATAAAACTAAAAGACTGCTTAAAAAATGGAAGGAGTTATAAAGTTTAAAAAGTTCAGCTATTTTTACAAAGTTTCAAAAAGGCAAAAAAGTTCCTCAAAAGTTATTGCTACTGGGCAAGAAAAACTATAGATTAAAATTACCATTATTAATTATGTTAAAATTACCACTATTTATAGAAGGAACACATTGCAGCCTGCTGACAAATTTAAACGAGACACCTGTACAACTATTTTAGAGTGAAGGGTCAGACTTGTGACATAAAACACTGCTTATATTTTTTCCAGCTAACGATGCCACCTACTGATATATTTTGCAATTTTTTTAAAATTTTCGGAAAATAAATATCCTAATCGCATTCTCCTTAAACAATGTTTTGTGTCAAAATAACTTGGCTTAGTGTTACAGAAGGAATTATGTTTTTTTTTATCAATTCTAATTCAAAATATTGGTTTCAAAAAGAGATATATTTATCGAATTTTTAAATGCCTATGCAGATACGAAAAGTTTTAGGCACTAGCTTACTAGAATAGGCAGTTCCTGAAAATCTGGTTTCTGTTCTCTTATTTCTTCAAAACATTGTTTAATTATTCGGAAGGAATCCTCATTGTCGATACTGTAGACTAGAAGAAATGCCTGACCATTGGCTATGGATAAACGTCTCATCGCTGGAAATTGCATATCACCCGCTGTATCTAGAAAAGTCACTTTCAGTTGAGTCCCAACTGTAAATAAATAAATTACAGGTACATTAGTATAATATTGATTTTTCAATCTTTTTTCAGAATTAACCTATGAAGGTAATACATTTTCCATTCATAACGAGAATCTAAGTAATTGATATAGAGTAAGATTGAATTATCATTAAGGAATAACTTAGATTCAGTTTAAACCAAGTATATTGATCGAATCATATCGAAAACTCGTCTTAAAATGTTACGGCTCTTTGGTCTCAAACGTTTCAAGCAAAAATGAGACTTTCTTCAGGATGATGAGAAGATGTAAGAATGATGTAAAAGAATGATGTAAGAATGATGTAAGGTACATTTTCCAAACTTTTTTAAAAGTGCAATAGTGACCAATTCATTCTCCAGACTTGAAGCCAATAAATGTTTCCATTTGGTTCATTTTGTGATGACAAAGGTTTATGTTAATTTACATTAAAAAAATTGTCATCTCTAAAAAAATCCTTGTGACGTAAGTGACTCAAACTGTCAGTAGGCGAGTCATGACTTATAGCCAAAAATTTTGCGGCTATAAGTCATTGCGAAAATTTTCACTTTAAGGCATTTTCGTAAAATTCGGACAGTTGACCGTTAATTTAAAAGCCCAGCTACTCTCTTTGAGAAAAAAAGTCAGTGCCCGTAATTGTAACGAACTTCAGTTAAATTATTAGAATTGACCCTAAAATGAAACGACCAGCTTATTAAAGCTCTTTTAACTCAATTCTTGGTTTCCTCATTTTTCCCATAGTGGTTTCGCACAATCGGATACAAAGATCATGAATTCGATCCCAGAAAGCACCAAAGAACATCTATATCGCATTCCTTTTCATTAATGACCACAGTCAACGAGTACACAACTCTATCAATCCTCGACAGATAGCTGCACTGCACTACCTCGCTTTAATTCCATAAACGAATCACCTGAGTCTCAAAAACGTGAACTCCCGAACTCCTACGAGTATAAAATTGATTTACGACCAGTAGCCAGATAATTTACGAGAAAAATTTATGGGTAAACCTGCATTATTGCAGTCATTATAACTTTGCGAATATAAATTTATTTTTACGGTCAGAATACGGTGATTTAAAGACTTTTTGGCGATTACCGAACATAATGGTGAAATGTTTTACAATATAGTAAATATTTATTGAAAATTTGGTAGCAATATTTGAATAAGCATTTGAATTTTATAACATTCATTAATATTATATGCATTCAAGTTATTTTCTATCACCTTCTATTATTACCACTATTCTAGATAACATTATTATCCCTATAATATACGAAATACATGTAAAAAATAATACATTTGCTACAAATCTAACTTCATTTAGATAATATCTTGATAAATCTTTCGCTATTTTTCTTTCATTGATGTAAATCCATAACTGATCAAATAAAACTATCCGGTTACACGTTTATGTTTATCAAGCAAAAGTTTCACTGCTGAGCAAATCAAATTGAGATTTCATCACCCATATACTTCGCTCAGTAAATCAGCAGACATATTTTATTACAACTGCATGCTCTACGTGATACAAGTGGCTCTTTTACTAAGTACATTAGGTTGAAGAAAATCACATTTATTTATCGCCAGAGGGCACGAATTCCATTTAGTATCCTAGAAACTTCCTCTGTTTCAACTTGTTCGGTAAAGTCCTTATGATTTATATTATTCCGGGCGGCTGCATTAGTTCCAGAAATTCGATGAGTGCTGGAGTATGAAAAGGCGTTAAATTAACTCTCTTTTGGAAAGCGTTTGCAGGAGAAAACTTATTTTTCTCTGAGATATAAACCGGGGAGAATCCCCTTTCCCATTTAAGGTATCCGACTACCTTCGGGACAAAATTTTTGAAAAATAAATATTTTTCACAACATTATTGCAATTTATATTGTATATTAATTTAAATAAACATATTTAATAGAGAAAATTNAGACAGGGAAAACCTAAATATTTTATAAAAAAAAAGACCTCTAAGTTTCCAAGAGGAACAGTGGCTTGAGCGACAAATTTTCTCCTGAACACCGCAGAATGTTCTCTTGTCTGAGAGGTATTATGTTTAATATCTGAAATGATATATATGGAGGAAACTTAAATATTTTATAAGAAACATCCAAAAAAAAAATTAAAATTTTTCCTTAACTGTGAATTATTTGGCAAACCTTCACCAGCACTTTCTTATTAAGTGCTTAAAATACTAATTCTTAAATAATTAATGTATTCAATACTTGAAATGCATGTTTTAAAACGATATGCACTTGATATCTCTGTCCAAGTGATAAAAGGTTTTAGTGGTATATATAGCTTCAGAATGACTAACATGCATTTAAGTCTTTAACAAACATTTTTATGAGTAATTTCACACTGATACGCCATTGATTTCACGCTGATAATTTCACACTGATGTATATTACGCTAGGTCATTAGTTTTTCAATGATATGAAATGATTAGCAAGATTGAAATAATTGTATTTTATTTTCACTTGGGGCGTATGAATTATTGCTTTCTGTCGCAATTGATAACTTTACGAACAGCAAACTTTTTGTGAATTTTTTTTTTTTTTAGCTTCACACTTAAGAGCACTATTTCAAAACTCAAGTTTCTTTCAGCAAACTTTTTTATCATTCTGATAAAATAATTAATACGCTGTTTAAAAAATTTCGAAATTAAATGGAAATTATCATTGCTTGCTTTCGTTTTCATTTGATCTCGGATAAGTCTCGGATTGTGACCATAAAGGCGCCAAAAGTTAGCTTAGAAAGTAAGGTAGTTTTACCAGCTCAACAAATGTTCATTTCCTATTAATTGATAAAATGACGAAAATAAACTTGTTTATGAATATAGTTCTTTTCGGGAACATTTTTGGTAAGCAAGAAAATTCAACTATTTATTTAAAAAAAAAAATCAATAAATAAAGGTCTACATTTTTTGGCGAAGATCTGCAATTTTTTGGCGACTTTCCGCTTCTACTAGACTAACCGAAAAGTACATTATTTTATTTTTTAATTTTTAAACTCACCATTTCCTTACAAATATACTATAAATAAACAAATACAGTCCAGGTGTTTCAGGGTACAGGGAGCTCACATCCCTATGAGGTGCTTCAGGTTCAAATCCCAGAGGTGGAGAAATGTCACTTTGCTTCCTGCTCACACCGACCACGGTAATGGCGTAAAATATCCTCAGTGGTAGACCGTTCATGGGTTAGATTTCTCTTGGCGTCGGACTAACCGAGGAAGGTTTTAAATAACCGTGTTTTTAATCTCCATGTACCGCAATTGCGGATTAGTTCCATCAGTAAGTCCTTCACGAAGGCTAGTTAGTCCCAGTGCTTGATCCAGGAGTATCCGTGTCTTCTGGGTTGAGTTCAAAATTACTAAGGTGCATAGTTGAACATTGAATTTGTAAATTCTGAATTGGGTCAGCTGTTTAACGCGGGTTATAATACAAATTTAATCCATCCAATCGGAGCAGTGGAGTCTTAGGGGGTAGTGCGCTCGCCTTCCAATGAGGTGAACCGGTTTCGAATTTCCCGCGATGGCTGATTAAATCGAATTCCGCGCCTGGCTCGCGCAGATCAATCTACCAATGAGGATAGTTACTAACGTAAACTATCCTCATTGGTAGATTGATCATGAGTTAGAGTCCCCTTGCTGTCAGGCTAACCGTCAGAGGTTTTCATGATTTTCCTCTCCATGTAATGCAAATGCGGGTTAGCTTCAAGAAAAAGTCCTCCACGAAGGAAAATTTCTCCCAATACTTGATCCAGGAATTCCCTTGTCTTCTGGATAGGATTCAAAATTATAAGGCTACGGAATTGAACATTGGTAGCCGTAACACCAAAATTGGGTCGGATGTTCAACGGCAGTTATAAAATAAGATCCTTCCCATAAAAATTTCCATTCTTCTTTACTTGATTTTATTTCGTAGCATCCTCTATAATAAACTTCTAAAGATAAAAATTAAATCAATGATGACAGATAAAAAAATTTTAAAATAAAAGGCGCACATAAGCTAATCGTATTCTGAAATTAGCGTCCCATAATTGTGTAATGGCTCTTTCTTTCAAGCTCTCTCACACGTGGATTTTTTCAGTAGTAAACTTCAAAAATCTCATTTTTGAAAAATGTTTCTACATGTCTAATTAGAAATATTAAATAAGTATAATGAAAAAGGATTTCTTTCAATACTTTCATCACCCAAATTATTTCCTAAAATTTCATTTTTCTTTAGTAATATTTAAAAATTATTTTTATATTTTAAAAGTTGCAATTCAGTTGCTCCTCTTAATAAAAATGTTTGATAGGCGGTTCATGCTATTTTGAAGAAAATGGTTTTTGATGTTTCTGAAGAAAAATAACCGATTTTTCTTCAATGATATTTATAAATTTCTTTTTGTCAATAGCCTATTTATTAAGAACTATTGCCAAATAGGTAAACAGGTGGTAGTATTTCGATTTCAACATACTATCATTTTAGCTTTTTAAGTTAAATCGCGATTCCATTTAAGTGATCAAAATTTTGTGAGTAACAATTTTTGTTAAAATTTTGATAAGCAAAACTCAAACAAAATCATAGAAAATTTTCTACAAAAATAAAATAAATAAAATAAAATAAAGCATTTTAATACCAAAATTTTTTTTAATATATTCGTTAGTTGACTTAAAATATGCATGCGTATCTTGATCAAAATCGCCAAACAAAAAGCCAAGTATATTCTTATTGAATAGAGTGCAAGAAAATTGTATAGTGACTTATTTATTTACAATAAAAAGTAAGATCATCTAAAATGCCCAGAATATTTTATACTCAATTCAGTAAATTTCAGGTAATTTAATTTATGCGTCATATTAACGATTTATTCGAGTAAAACTTCATAATACAATTTTTTAACTCGAACACATTTAATTATGACGCAAATAAGTAAGGTGTTAATCAGATTGCTTGATATCTATTAAAAGTTTTGTAAGTAATTTTAAGAACTTAGAAATATAATA